TTTTTTTTTTTTTTGTAGAGACTGGTTCTCACTGCATTGCCCAGGTTGGTCTCAAACTCCTGGCCTCAAGGAATCCTCCCACCTCCACCTCTCAAAGCACTGTGATTACAGGCATGAGCCACTGTGCCTGGACTAAAATAATTTTTTTAACAGCTCCTTTCTTTTTTTCTTCCACAACTGAGCCAATATATATATATTTTAAGCTCTAAGATTTTCACCATAATTTGCATGATCAGCAATAAGATGAGGCAGGGGCAACCAGCTATATTTACTACTTGAAAATAAAACTTTCACTAATTTAAAATTGCTCATAATCTAGGCAAGAATTGGGATACTTGGTCTTTGCAAAGGGAATTCCTTACACAATGAACAGTGTAGAAAAGAATATTTGCTATGTGTGACTTTGCCATATAAAAGCAGGACCATCACTAGGCAAAACACAATAGTGAAAGAAGAAAAACTTAGGCCCTTTCATCAACCAATCTGTAGTGAAATTTCACTCATCGCATCTTGGTTTTGGCATTTTTTGCAGGAATAGTACTAGCCATCATATCTGCACTCGGAATTCTGTATATTCAGTAAAGTCTACAATAAAAATAGGTCCTGACCAGGTGCACTGGCTTATACCTGTAATCCCAGTACTTTGGGAGGCCAAGGCGAGCAGATCACCTGAGGTTGGGAGTTCAAGACCAGGCTGACCAACATAGAGAAACCCTGTCTCTACCAAAAATACAAAATTAGCCAGGCGTGGTGGTGCATGCCTGTAATCCCAGCTACTCGGGAGGCTGAGGCAGGAGAATCACTTGAACTTGGGAGGCGGAGGTTGCGGTGAATCAAGATCACGTCATTGCACTCCAGCCTGGGCAACGAGAGTGAAACTCCTTCTCAAAGGAAAAAAAAAAAAAAACGTTCCTCAGAAAACTTAATAATCCTTTCATTAATATGTTAATACAGATGAATATTCCATAAAGACATGTTAAAAATATTCTGAAATATGTGTAGTGCTAATGTATTTTTATCCACCGAGTACAGAATCACAGCACAATCTTCATATACTTTTACCTTCACAAGTTCTTTAAATACAGCATGCTGAATCATTTTTCTTTTGTTAAGACCAGATGCCATCTCTTCAAGATCAATAGCAGACCTTTATGATGGTGGTTGGTGATTGGGATGGGGAGGAGAAAATCAGTTAAGAAACTCTAAGAAACAAAAGCTTCTGCTCCAAAGAATGTACGACTACTCAGTCATTCATATTAATAGTCTCCCAATTAACATGCATGTGATTACTACAGATTCGTAAGTCTATATCATAAAGAGTTTTAGCCATGAAGTATTAGACACAAGACTTTGGTTTTCAAGGATTACACCTGAAAGTATAAATTTGTCCTAATATCACCACAAAGAACTAGTTTTATTTACTTTGCTTGCAGCTTATATATTTTACATATCTTTACAACAGAAATCAGGACTACTTTCTCTATTTCTTCTTTTTTTTTGAGACAGAGTCTCGCTCTGTCGGCCAGGCCGGAGTGCAGTGGCATGATCTCGGCTCACTGCAACCTGTCTCCCAAGCTCAAGCAATTTTCCTGCCTCAGCCTCCTGAGTAGCTGGGTTTACAGGCGTATGCCACCATGCCCGGCTAATTTTTTGTATTTTTAGTAGAGACGGGGTTTCACCATGTTGGCCAGGCTGGTCTCCATCTCCTGACCTCATGTTCCTCCCGCCTCAGCCTCCCAAAGTGCTGGGATTACAGGCGTGAGCCACCACGCCCGGCTACTTTCTCTATTTCTAAATGCTTAAATGCTGGTAGTCCCACAACTAATCTCAGTCTAACAATACAAGAAGAAATATCTAAAGCATGATAAGGGATAAGATTCAAGCAGTTAACTCAGCTACCTGTATTGTTCTGTGTGTCCTGCCAACTCAGTGCCTCTCCCAATGAAAATGACAACTGAGACCACATACATTAATTTCTCATTCAAATACGAAACAGAGAAACCAAAAGGAGAACGAAAGAGAATACAGCTCTCCAATAACGGTTAATATCATCTTAAGCCTAAAAAGAATAAAATGGCAGTACTTTTCTATGAAGAACCTGAATTGTTAAAAGGCTTTATATATTAAAATACTACACAGTATTTAATTAAATCCATCCAAATAAAAGACTAGTAAAATAGAAAAAAAAAATGTAATTAAATGAAAACCACATGTAGTTTATTCTTTGAACTATCATTATGGAAACGTATTACACATGCTCTTGCTGAACATATGAGCTCCCACACAGCACTTTTCCAGTGCTGCAGAGCAGAAATGATTCCTGATATAGCAAACACTTCTAGTTAGCACTTCTTTCCTGTAAACTAAACTTAACTGTGCCTGTTTTTTACCTGATTAATTTAACTTACTTAACATTTTCTCTCAGTTGCTTCACTAGTTTAATATTAACATCTGCTTCCAACAAAGCGGTACAGACTTCTTTTAGCATAGCATTCAATACCTGAAAATAAAGAAATAAATGAAATTTAAAGTACCCAATGTATTAAGTTCCATAAAAACAATGGTTGATCAATTATATAACCATAGCTTAATAAAATAATACCACAATACTGGGTTTTTCAGTTAGTTCTGAAGAGAAAACTTTATTAAATGTAAGTCATTTTGTCAAAATAAGAAACCCCATTTAGTTTTACACACCCAAGTATTAATTACCACAATTTTATTCCTATGTAAAAGTAAGTATAGGCCGGGCATGGTGGCTCACGCCTGTAATCCCAACACTTTGGGAGGCCGAGGTGGGCAGATCACTTGAGGTCAGGAGTTCAAGACCAGCCTGGCCAACATGGCGAAACTCCATCTCTACTAAAAATACAAAAATTAGCTGGGCATGGTGGCATGTGTCTGTAATCCCAGTTACTCAGGAGGCTAAGGCTGCAGTGAACCAAGATAGTGCCACTGCACTCCAGCCTGGGCGACAGAGTAAGACTTTGTCTCAAAACAAAAAACAAACAAAAACAAAAACAAACAAAAAAACCCACACATACAAAGTAATAATAATAAAGACAATATTCAAGCCAAAAAAAGTTTCTACAAATAGATGTTGCCTTTGATGTTTTCTAAGTTACTGAAGAGCTCCTGTTGTTATTACGTAGTGGTATATAGTCACAGTATTTGCTTTTCTTTTTTTCTTTTTTTTTGAAACGGAGTTTCGCTATTGTTGCACAGGCTGGAGTGCAATGGCATGATCTTGGCTCACTGCAACCTCCACCTCCCAGATTCAAGCGAATCTCCTGCCTCAGCCTCCCTAGTAGCTGGGATTACATGCGCCTGCCATCACGCCCAGCTAATTTTTTATACTTTTAGTAGAGACAGAGTTTCACTATGTCGGCCAGGTTGGTCTCAAACTCCTGACCTCAGGTGATCCACCCACTTCAGCCTCCCAGAGTGCTAGGATTACAGGTGTGAGCCACCATGCCCGGCTTAATATTTGCTTTTCTTAAAAACTGGACAACTGTGGAAGTAAATGTGACAGAAGAAAGTTAGCCAGTCTTGTCACTTTTACTTAGAGCAGCAGAATACAGCTGGAAAGGAGGCTAGCCTCTATTAATAACTTATTATCATCATATGTTTGTTGAATTGCAAGGCACTGTAGTTAAAAGGTCATAAAATTAAAAGTCTTAAGAAAAGATGAGGCTTTAGCCACTCATGTATATAAAGTGCTCACACACTAGAATGTAAGCTCTATGAGGGTAGGAATTTTAGTCTATTTTGTTCACCACTGTATCTCCGGTGCCAGCAAAAATGTCTGCAAAAACATAGGCCCTCAATTATTTGTTGAATGAACTCTCTCCTTCACCTCACTTTGTATGCCCTACAAGGAGAGGCTTATCAGTTTTCTCTATCCCTCATTAAAGGAGTCTGATAAAACTGGAACTGATCTTTCACTAGAGGGCTTTCTCCTTGTTAATTAGCTAGCAGCACAGTATCAAGAACAGAGAAGCTGCCAATTTAAGCAACAGCTGTTACTCTACTTCCCACCAAGAACTCCTCCCCTGGTTTCCTTTCCTTTCTACTATAAACACAAAGAACATAAGGGCTACCCAACAGGGAAAACTGTTTGGAAAGTTGTTTTATTTATTCTGAAATACAAGACCAAAAATGATTTAAGTTATGATTCATTATTTAATAAGAAGTATTAGAAAAAGCCCTGTATGAGGAATTAGGAAAAAAAAGGTTCTAATCCTGGTTCTTCCAAATAAATAATCACATGAAACTGACTTTCTGTTTCTGTTAAATAACAGGCTGAACTAAATGATCTCTAAGATGGTCTCAAAATTATTTAATTCCATTAGCTTAGTGTTGAGATCAAATTCTACGTAAGAATTAGTTTTCTAACCTCCAAGTTAGAAAGTTCATTTGATACTTAAAACTATTTTCTATGGTAAATGCTATTTTCCTATTTTACACACTAAGGAATCTGAAGTTGAGTTGCCCAAATTTACATCGTACAGCTACTAAATAGCTACAGTGGGACTCTAAACAATGCCTTCTAACACCAAATTCAGTACTTTCCCATTGTTAATACAAAATATAAAGTATACTTGTGAACCACAGTCATCTTTTTCAATTAATAAACCATTAAGATACAATCTGTGGGAGACAAATGGAACAAAGAAATATCTTAAAACAATATAGCCAGAAAGAAAAGTATTTTAATATGATCTAAGGAGTGGCTTACAAAAATCTCCAAAAAACTGAAGATTTCAAAGAAAGTGAATCAAAACAGGTAAGATGGAAATGCTAGCCTTTTACAAAACTGCTAAATAAAAGTCACAAAGAAAAGGACAGATAAGCACAAGCCTAGCCAAGAAGAAAGAAGCAGGGTGATGAAATTTTAGGTCTTTATCAACAGAGAAAACAAAAGTACAGTTCCAGATTTAAGACACTTTCAAACGATAAAATATGTCATTTTTACATGTAAGCTAAGGTCAGTTTTGTTTTGGATTTTTTTTGGAAAATTCTTTATAGAAAGTTGAAGTAAATTTGAAGTTGTAGTTAATTTCTCAATAAAACACTACTTACTGAATCCACTTCTAGGTTTCTGTCTACAAGTATTAAGTCTACATCAAAATACATATAAATACAGAGATTATTAATAAGCCATCTTCCCAATGCTAGTGATAATACACAATCATATGTATTTTTCATACAATATTTTACATACCTCTTCATTGATAATGGTGGCATTACTCAACGAGCGTAATGCTGATGTTATTTTTCTTCCAAGGTCTGCTAGAACCATCTTGACAGCTTTAAGATGTACTTACGAAGAACTCTGGAGAGGAAAAAAAATTAAATGAAAATAATCAATTTCATTTTCCATGACTGAAGAGTTCTAAAGAGTATTTCAGTTCAAATCACTCTAGTGTTTAGATACTGTAATTTCACCTTCCATAGCCTCAACCTGTGCTTAAATACAGTCATGTCATAAAGATAAAACTGCCACTTGGTTATGATGCCTTATATTCAAATACTTAATTGGAATCTTGCATATGAATCAGCAAATTTAACATGTCAAATAATATACTTTGAGGAAATAATGACAAACTCACATTAAATGTGTTCTTTTTTTTTGGCACAATACTTATACTGAATTATGTATCATACACATTTTTAAATTAAAAGAGAAAAATAAGGTGAAATCTCCAGGAATATTGCCTAATTTCCTACATTAAAGGACTCTGCAAACTATTTTGATTCTTGCTCCCAAGCGCAAAAAAAAAAAAAAGAAAGAAAAAAGTTTTAATAACTTTTCTAGTACAAAAAAGCAACTGTTGAGCTATTAGCTATATTAAAGCACTGTACTAAGTGATTCCACATACATTATTTCATTTTATTCTTCTAACCACAAAGGAAAGAGGTATATTATTTTACTTTTTTTTTTTTTTTTTTTTTGAGATATGGTCTTATTCACTGTCACCCAAGCTGGAGTGCAGTGGTGTGATCGCAGCTGACTGCAGCCTCAACTTCCTGGGAGCAGGCAATCCTCCTGCCTTAGCCTCCCAAGTAGCTGGGACCACAGATGCCTGCCACCATGCCCAGCTAATTTTTATTATTTGTAGAGACGCGGTCTCACTATACTGCCAAGGCTGGTTCTCTTCCTATTTTAAACCTGTTTCTGATTCCAGGAAAACTCTAACATAAGATAACAATTTAAGTTATCATTTATTATTAATAAGAATTACTAGAAAAAACCCTGGATGAGGAATTGAAAATAAAATTCTAATTCTGGTTTTTCCAAAAAATAGTCACATGCAACAGACTTTCTGTTTCAGTTAAATAAGAGTCAAAAACCCTTTCCAGCTCTAAAATCTTACTATTTTATAAAGTATTATATATTAGATGTACTTACTACTTGTAAGGATGCAAGGGCTTATGGGTGATAAACAAGCAAATATGGTTTGTAGTCCCTGCCCTCAAGACGCTTATCTACTAGCTGGTAAGACAAGGCACATAAATGAACACTAAAATAAACACTAAGAGAGAATTCCTCCTGTTTGACTGCTTACTAACAGGGACATCAGCTTTTCTTGCCTTCAAACTGAAACAATGGTTCTTTGTGGGTCTCAAGTATTTGGATTAAAAGAACATCAATGGCTCTCTGAGTTCTCAGGCCTTCAGATTTAGACTGGATCTACACCATGGGCTCTCCTGGGTCACCAGCTTGCCAACTCATCCTACAGATCTTGAGATTTAAGTCTCCATAACGGCCTGAGCCAATTCCTTATAACAAATATCTATCTTTATATCCATCTCTCTACATATATATTTATACACACACACACACACACACACACACACACACACACACACTTTATTGATTCTGCTTCTCTGGAACAAGAAAAAAAAAAAAAAGAAATAGGAAGAAAAAGGCCAGGTACAGTGGCTCAAGCCTGTAATCCCAGCAGTTTGGGAGGCCAAGGAAGTAGGATCACTTGGGC